CTTCTACCTAGAAAGCTAAAATTGTTTCCCAGAGGTTTTATTTTTAATGTAGACAAGGATTAAGGGAAACATTAGAAAAAAGGATTTTTCAAAATTACCACGGGATCAGAAATAAAGAACATTTAATTTTTTCTCTTTAAATTTGTCTTATTTCCATATAACTGTACTTATGACAGACTTCAAAATTTGACATGTATGTAGGTAATTACAATAGGTAATAACTGTTTTAAGATTTTTTCAAATTCCTTCGGGATAGGGAACAAAAAGGACTTATCTTTTCGTTTTTAACTTGCCCTATTCCCCTATATATAATCATTACAGACTTAAAATTTGGCAGTTAGGTAGATAATAATAATCATTATTAACCAGGATTAGGAATTTCAGGACTTTTCGAAATTTTTATAAGGTAGAGAACAAGACGATCTATTTTTTAGCTTTAAAGTTTCCTTATTTCCGTAACAATAATTATTAGCTATGTGAGTAGGTAATTATAACACTATTAACTATTTTTAGATTTTTTCTGAAAAGGGTAGGATAGGATAATAAACGCTGCTTTAAAGTTTATTGTGAGGAATATATTTACGTGTTTTCATATATCACCCACAAAAATTTAAATGTACAATGTCCACGCGCAGTAATATAATAAATCTATGGGTCCATGGGTAGACTGTGTCCAGTAATCGCATACACCGTTATACATATCTATTCTAAAAAAAAGTAGTCCTATATAACTATAAACAAAATCCCCTTAATTTCCAATTTTATGCAAGTAAACCGTAGTTAACCGTACAAAGATAATTTAAAAATTAAAATTTTGAAGAAAACTTCGAAATTAGGACTGAAATTTTACTTTTTTACGCAATGGAATCACTGTCAGCTATTGAACGAAATTAAGCCATTTTATAAAAAAAACACGCAAACATTTATTCTGTGATTAAGTGCCATTAATATAAAAATGTGTTTAAAATATAACTTTAAATGCACGAATTAAAAGTATGTCTTTACGTAATGTAAATTTATTGGGTCATTAAGCTTTGGATTGACAATCTTAAACTTAATTTTATATAAACAAAGATCCTCGTTAATGGCATGATATATTATGACGTTTTAAGATTATTATAAGCTACGTCATTGTGCTTTATCATCTTCGGCTGCATCACCCGTTACCATCAGCTGGAATAATAATAATAATTTTATTAGCACTGGCTAATAAAAATGAGTGCCCACTTAAATAAAATCTTTAGATAATGATTTCTTATATTTACGCGAACACTATACATGATTAAAACTACTTTTACGGATTTTATCGCGTTTATTCAATACAATAAACGCGATAAAATCCGTAAAAGTAGTTTTAATCATAAAATCTTTAGCTTTCATCTCTTTTTATATTTTATATTACTTTTTTGTTCCCTATTTATTACGAGTTATTTTGTTTATATCGTTACCCTTGAGATGGCTGTAGGTATGTGTGTGTCACTGGAATGAACAATTTTTTTAAAACACTTTTAATTTTTATACAATTAAGAAGCATCTTTGCTACTCAAAAATTTAAAATATTCGTAAATAAAAGCAAAGAAATCTTTAAATATCTTTACATCTAGCAACGGTTAAATTAGTACTATGATTGATTTACTTTTCGTATTGGTTTGAAACAAACTCTACATAGCGTTGAAGTCCTTGGACTAAATATGGAGGGCTCGGTGTAATAAAGTGATTCCAATTGAGGTGACAGTATTCAAACAGTAGTAAGAAATTGATTTGATAAACAAGAAATATTAATTATTTGATTTCTTACATTTATACGATTATATATTTTTCATTACTGACGTTTTTGTTACTGGCAAGGGGACAGGTGTTTGATGATAGGTTACCTTCAAAATTTGAATATTAATTTTTGGTTCGATCTAGACAGAATGATTCTACAGTATCTTGTAGTCTTGCAGTGCTTGGTTTGGATATAATTTTATTAATATTAGGATTCCAAACAGATAGCAACACAGAGACATCTTCTCTATTAAAATAAGGATAATTATTAATTTCAGTAGCCTCGCGAATCATCCTTGGTAAAAATTCGTATTCTTTTTTGCGGGTTTGTGGTCTACTATCAAATCTGATGTAATTAAACTGAAGGTAGGCCAGTCATAGTTATTATGACGTCGGGACGTCAAATACTTCACCCCCCCCCCCTCTCGTGTCCATAGGCGCTGTAGAGCGCACAAAATTACGAGATTTAAATATTATTTAAATAACTTAAAAGTAATAAAGATCGTAAAGATAGTTTTATTCAATAGGAAAATTTTATCACTAAAAATTTTATCTGAAAAGTCTTTGAAGAGCAGAACGGGGTGTATCAGAAGTGTTTAAATAGAGTAACACAAATAAAAATGCCTGATAACATAACCATATTATATTTGTGTTTTTTTTTACAGATATTACATACGATATGGTTATTTTCTTACCAAAGCTCGAATAATTAAAACTACTCAAAATCTGCAAAATACTCCCAGTAAGTTTAAAACATAAATATTTACTTACTACTACTACCATAAACAATTACCACTGTTGAGACCGTACTATAATATTGATCAAGCATGGTCGATGTCTGCAGGCGAATTTGTTGTACCAAAAGTAAATAACTACTTCGGGGATAGAACTTTAAAGAAACGACTACCGTACTTTTTCAATAGTTTGTCTGAGGACATACGACGTGAACCAGTAAAAACATATTTAAAAATAAATTAAAGAAATATTTATTGGCAAATCTCAGTGCTTAACAATAATATTTTACATCATGAAAATGAGACTCAAATGTTCCTGCAGACAAACTGTGTAAGCAGTTTTGCGGGAATATGTATATTGGAAAACCAAATTTTGTATTTTTAATAATAAATTTAAAAAAAATCACATTCAGTAAGGAAATATAATTAGCTTTGGGAAATATTACGCAAGGAGAGTTATGTAATAATTTAAATATTTTTATAAAAACATGTTAATAAATAAAAACAAATTTGTGTAAACTGTATCGACAATAATAAACTTCTTGAAAGCCCTTACAGACACGACGTGGTACAAAACGCTATCAGAGCTGATTGTGTGCCAACTAAAGAGAATTTCGATGGAAAATACAGATTACCCCCGATAAGGGCCCATTATCGTAAACTTGGAGTGGCCCAACACAAACTTTGTACATACGGTCCCGTATTTCAGAAGTTCTTAACGAGTTTACGTTATTTTATTTTTGCGCCTTAGTATTTAGTGGGTGTTGTTGGCTAGTTGCCACACCTTTACACTGATAGAATTGTACGTATAATAATAACTTAAAGAACTTCATAATTGGATCGATAATAAATTTTGCCCTAATTAAATTTTACTGTTCTTCGCCTATGATGGAAAGCTACGACGCTTCTTATCAGGAACAGCTATAAAGGAAATCAAATATGATTGAAGTATTCTGAAAAAGCACTGTTATTCTTGAACATAGTAATATCAATAATAATAATAATAATTTATTAAAAATAAAGCCTTAAATATAGCACAATGTTATCGCAGGTAAATTGTAACAAGATGGCTAGCATAAGCGACATATAGATAAGCTGATCCCCTGACTTTCATGCTAGGATACTTATATTAACGCATGACTGGAAATATTTTTTCTATTCATTCATTCATTGCGATTAATGAATAAATAGAAATCCATACAATCCCATCATAATAACTTTCATCGTTGAACATAGGCCTCTCCATTGGTTTCATTTTAAGGGATGGAAAGGGGATGGGAAGGGATTTTAGCGTGGGGACCGAATCCAGAAATTTATTCCGCCGTAACGAAAAAACCTCACGCTCCCCACTCCGACGGGCACGGAGGTGTGGCTTGAAGGCCGTGCATCGTCTAACGTCGTTCAGTTCGGCAGACTTCGGCACTCGGCAGACTTCGGCACGGTGTTTGTGTGCGTGCGACTAGACGTATGCGTGTACACTAGCTGCTAACTGAATAATAAAAATTCCTGAATAACCTACACGTATTGTAAGATATTATAAATATTTTAAACAATATTAACTTTTCATTTATTCAATAATTATTTATGTAATCTAAGTATCCTGTTTACTCCAAAGAATACAGTTTTAATTTTTTTTATTGGATAGATTGGCAAACGAGCACACAGTCCACCTGATGGTAAGTGGTTGCTGCAGCCCATAGACATCTACATCTATCCTCGATTACAAATCAAAATGCAGATGCATTGTCACCCGTGAGGACTAAGATGGAATGCCTCGTTTCCAGTAAAAAGGATCTTCGGTTCTTTACACTCACCATACGAAACACAGCAGCATTAAGACACTATTTCACACTGGTATTCTGTGAGAGCGTGTTCCTTCCTCGGTGGAGCCTGTCCATTAGTGCTATATACTACTAATATAACTGCAGCATGAATCTACCATGTATAAACTATATACACTTAACTACTCAAATTAGTCTCATATTTTGGTTGTATGTGGACGAGACATTGTTATAATTAATAAGTTTAATTAGTTCTACATAATGTCAAACATTAAACGTGAACTAATTTCTTTAAAAAAATGTACAACAAGTTATATATAATTATATATAACTTGTTGTACATTCTCTTCCCCCTTGGACGCCAGCAAGTGTGGACGTGTTTTAGTGAGTGAAATTAAGCTTAGTAAAATAATTATACGTTATAATTAGTACGAACTACCAGGATAACAGAAATCACAGTGAGTCACTCCTTGTTATTACTAAACTACCTTGTTTGTTACGCCGCCACTAATTCGCCTAGTCGCAGCTGATCGCCTTTGATTCGCTTCTCAAAGTCCCAACCCACTTTTACTAAGTGCATAAGCAGTGGGCGGAGTCGGGGCGGAACTAACTACCGCCACAGAATAAAAAATAGAGGTCCTGCGACGGATTGCATTTAAAACAGACTTACAAATATATACCACCGTTTTATTAAGTGGACATACGATCAGTTTTCACAATGTTTAAATCGCCACCAAAAACTTCGAATAAACGGAACACGCCCTCACGTTCCGATTCTGATATACGCAAATTGTGTTCTGAAGAAGGCTTAGCGCCTAAAGAATTTATAGCACACAATGTAACGCAACGAACAAAATGCCGATATCCATCAGGCGCTGGAGCTCCTGAGTTTCTAGAGGAGTTAACCACAATTAAGAGCGATATAACAAACGATATCAAAAGCATGCTCAAAGAGTTGTTGTCTGCACAAACTTCAAGGATGGATAAATTTGAAAATTATTTATTAGATATTAAAAACCTAAACTCAAAAATAGAAAATACCAACAACGACATAGAAAAGTTCATGAACTTTATATCTGAACAAATAACTTCGCTGGAGACTAAAATTACTTACCTGGAGCAGGAGCGTACCACCGTGGCTTACACACTATCTTCGCTGGAAGAGAAAATGGAGACTCTTGATCGCAGTTGCATAAAGACTTGTGTTGAAATTCGCAAGTTACCCAAGAGGAATCAAGAGTCGAAGAAAGATCTATTTGATATGCTAATAAAATTATCAAAGCTCATAGAAATCAATCTGCAGGTCTCTGGTATTCGTGATGTGTCAAGGCAATATTCGAAAAAGGAAAACAAAACATCTAATCTAACAGTTGAATTCTCCAATACTCTTATAAAAAGTAATTTCTTGTCTCTGGTTAAGAATTATAACAAACGTAACACAAACAATAAGCTGAATTCGTCTCATCTGGGTCTAGATGGCCCACTTACTCCTATTTATATCACTGAACAGCTCACTCCTAGCTCTAAGTCATTGTTTTATATCACGCGAAAATTTGCAAAATCAAACCAGTACGCATATTGCTGGACATCAAATGGGAGAATCCTGCTGAGAAAAGACGACAAATCTCCCTACATTATAGTAAGAAATGAGCAGCATTTAAACCAGTTGTCTACATCCAAAGGAGCATGACTACGAAAACATTTTCGATTTTGTTTACGTTATATATTATTAATGTTTTTCCCATATTATTTTATATTTGCTTACTGTTTAAGTCCCAATAAGTTAACTAATTACACTCACTTACTTATCTTAATGACTAACATAGATATTATATATTTACACCCACACAAATTAAACTTACCACATATTTACACACATTACATTACCATAAAATTCATACAAAATGTGAACTATAATATTACACTAAACATTAACACTAATATTCTTAACACCATTATTAAAATTATTAATATTACTGTATACCTACAAAAACATAATTTTAGCATTTCCCAGCCTCTAGTGCTGTCGTATGTGGAATTACTACGTCGATATTTCGGTTCAACTATATGCACAACAGATAATAACTCCATCCTTATAACAGCCTTTCCTACGAACCTTTCTACCCTTAATTTAAACCACGAAAATGGCTAATAGCATTAATAATTTAATTGAAAATGTTGACCAACTTTCAGTTTCCGAATCGCTTTTTCTGTACCATCGAAAAATCCAATCAAATATTGCAAAACCCAAAGCAATATATAAAAATTTTTAACCAAAATATTCGGTCTATTAACTGTAACTTCTTAAATTTACAAACAACTTTACAGATCATAGCGTTTGATTGTGATATTTTGACATTGACTGAATGTTTGTTATCCTGTTCCACTAATCACTATATTCCCAGTTTACCCAGTTATTCAATTCATAAAACATCTAGGCACCTTAATCAAAGCGATGGTGTTCTTGTATACATAAAAACGTCTTTATCCTCGATTGTCGAAGAGCCAGACTATAACGGATCAGCCTCCGGACTAATAATTAAAATCAATTCTGATATAGCAGTGATTTGCATATGTCGATCTCCTTCTAACGAAAATATTAGTCCATTTCTATCTGCCTTAAAAGATATACTCCTAAATCAATGATTTCTTATATTTACGCGAACATTGCACATTGATATTAAAACTACTTTTTACGGATTTTATCGCGTTTATTTTTACTTTTTATTTTTAATTCCCGACGTTTCGGGCGCTTTCCAGCACCCATGGTCACGGGGGGACTGAGATGACTGACGTCCCGATGTCATTGTTAAACCCGGAGTACCTTCAGCTTTTTTAATTATTGTTTATGGTCCGATCTATGCAAAATGAACTGACTATGGCCTGAGGTCTTGCAGTGGTATGCTTGGGTTTAGTTTTAATTTTATTGATTATAGGATCCCAAGCAGGTGGTAGTACCCAGCCTCCTTCTCTATTGAAATTAGGATGTTTTTTAATTTCAATAGCCTCACGTATCATCCTTGGTAGGAATCGGTGTTCTTTCGCGAGGATTTGTGGTCTATCAAATCTGATGTAATAGCGGGAGCCGTCTAGGATATGATCACAAACTGCAGACTTCCCGGAGATATACTCCTGTCACTCTCAAAATACAAAAATGTTATACGAATCGGAGACATTAACATTGATATTAAAACCTTCAATAACTCAATAACCACTCACACGTAAATTGTCTTGCTTTTCATGGGTTGTTACCTGCTCATACCTTCCCAACAAGAGGTAACAACTGCCTTGACCATACTTTTGTTCGATCTAAATTCCCAGTTTTAACTTTTGTACTTGATACAACTATCACCGATCACTACTCTTCAATCATATGTATCAAAACAAAAAATACATATCTCAAACCTCCTAAGACAATGTCGAAAATAAACTATATAACATTAGACAAAACAATGGAGCAAATAGATCTTAAACCTATTCTAATACTCAATGACCCTAACATAGCAACGGATAGTTTTATACAGCTAATGTCTCAAGCTATACTCGATAATACGTATACTATCAAATTATCAGCAAAAAAAGAGGATACTCAAACCATGGATAACTCCAGGTTTATTAAGATGTATCCATAACAGAGACTCTTTACACAGAAAGTTAAAACAAGATCCAAACAATTTAACACTTGTTATAACATACAAAAGGTACCGGAATTTCTGTACAAAAATATTAAAAAAGGTAAAAAAGGCAATACGATTCGGAGCAAATAAAAAAAGCAGGTAAAAACAGTAAAGATTTATGGAACACTATAAAGAATATCGCTTGTAACGAAAAATCTCGAGAATCGACAGCACAGCAATTATTATCCTCTATCTCACCAATTCAGTCGTGTAATAACGTTAATAAATTCTTTATCAACATCGGGAAGGAGCTAGCGCAAAAAAACACCAGCAATTGCGCAGTTACACCAAAAGGAACCACCCTAGTAAAATCTAATCTGTCATCTTTTGTTTTAGAATGCACGGACACTGATGAAATTAAATTACTTATTAATTCGCTTAAACTTAATGCAGCTACCGGATGAGATGAAATTCCACCGAGTTTTTTAAAATGATACTCCCCTATTCTCGCACCTATTCTAGCCCATATTTACAATCTCTGTCTAGAATCTTCTGTCTTTCCTACCTCTTTCAAGAGGGCTATCATCCATCCAATTTTCAAGAGTGGTGATGGGAATCTCATTAATAATTATCGCCCATTGCGGTGTTTAGTGCTTTATCAAAGGTTTTGGAACGTTTAGTCAACAAGCGACTAGCAAAGTATCTGGAGCACTGTAATATAATCTCTTCCCAACAGTTTGGATTTCGTAAAAATAAATCCACTTCTGACGCTATTCATGAATTAACTACTTTCGTTGTAAATAAGCTTAACGACAACAAAAAAGTCCTTACAATATTCTTGGACTTAGCTAAGGCTTTTGATACGGTTCCCATCAATACTCTCTTATTAAAACTAGAAAATATAGGTATCAGGGGTTCTCAACTTGATTTTTTCCGTAGCTACCTTTCAGATCGGACTCAAAGGGTAAAGATAGGCAACTATACAAGTAATGAACTTTCTATATCTTACGGTGTGCCCCAGGGTAGTATACTCGGACCAACTCTCTTCTTGATATTCATTAACGACCTCTGTAATATTAAAGTCAATAACTCTAAGATAGTTTCATATGCTGATGACATCGCCCTTACCTTCTTTGCAGGTACTTGGACTGAACTACAAGAAATTGCGCAAAGTGGCTTTAATATTACATATGATTGGCTTCGTGCACACACCCTTACTTTAAACACAGCAAAAACTAAATTCGTTGCTTTTTCTATCTCTACAAAATCACAACCTAAAATTCCAGTAAAATTAATAGCCCACTCATGCCATTACCAATATCAACAAGCTTGCCACTGTCCCCTTATTAATTCGGTCGACACAGTCAAATACTCGTATCTTGGCATAACTCTAGATAAAACCCTAAATTTTAAAGTCCACATTGAAGATTTAACCAGCAGAGTCCGTAAATTAATCTTTATTTTCAAATCACTTCGTCACGTCACTAATCAGAGTATCATACGCAAGGTTTATTTTGCACTTTGCCTTTCTATCATATCTTACTGCATTTCATGTTGGGGTGGTGCCGCAAAAACTATCTTGAAACCTTTAGAAATCGTACACAGATCAATTTTAAAGATCATGGCCTTTCGACCCATATTATACCCGACAATTCAGCTCTGCAAAGATCACAACGTTCTTAATGTAAGACAATTGTTTATACTACATACAGTGATGTTACAACATCGTAAGGTTCCTTATATCGAAATTACCAAGAGGCGTAAGGACAAAATCTGCAGTATTTCGACAGTCTCCTCTCATTTTGCTAAAAGGTTTTTCTCATATTTCGGTCCCTTTCTTTATAATATGATCAATTTTAATATTTCTATTTATGAACTATCTAATTACAAATGTAAGAAAGCCGTGTACTCCTTCCTACTAAACAAGAGTTCTGAAGAGACAGAACAGTACACGGTCTTCGTGGTATAGATGGAATGATTTTGTATATGCTATTTGCAGCGTCAAATGTGCTGATGAGACAATTATGAAAAGTCGATTAATTTAATATTGGAGGGGCTAATACACAGAAGTGAAGTGTTACGACTTTTAGAGATGAAAAGGAGAAGAAATACCTAGATATTCACTAAATGATGATCATCATTATCATCATCATTACAGCCCTTCACAAGTCCACTACTGAACATAGGCCCAAGGAATGCATATAAATGATGATCAAGTTAAAATAATCGGTCGAAAAATTCTTAGAGGAAAAGTATTCTGGTTGTCAAAAGTATTCTCATTTGTTATTTCTAAGAATTTTGCCGCAGTTTTTTAACGTATTCCATTGCTACTAACCGAGACCGGCATCTCCCAAAGAACAGTAAAATATTTATTATTATTATTATTCTTTCTGTGATAAAGTTACAAATTAGAAATAAGTGTTTTTGTGTTTTCTGGTATTATTATATTGATTTGACCGATGAGCACGTGCGGTGGTAGTAAAGTGTGCTGTTATATAAACTAATTTATATGTGTAAGCTATATTAATAAATGTATTTACTGCTGATAATAAGTGTCTGAAAAAGATCATTGATAATAAATGCTAGTTAGTAATATTGTATAAATACTCGAATAAAAAAAAATTTGTAGGTATTTAGCTCTTATGAATTTTGAGGTTAATTTCTGCCGCTGTTCAATTGTTATTTTTAATTTTGATTAAAAAATAGCATGTGACTATTGTAAGGCTCGCTTGTTTTTTTTTTAAGGATAAGAAATGTCTAGACACTAAAAAAAGAAGACC